GATCTAACTTGTCATTGCAGAAAATATACTTACTCCATGGCCACAAAATTTCAGCCCTTCAGCCAAGCTTCATCTATCACATTGTAAAGAATAATTTGCCAAAGAGGGGTTTCAAAATCCAAACCAGATCCTTCTCCTGCGCCGGAGCCAAGTGTTTCCAGCAAGCCCTGATCTGTTGCATGTTAGGGTTTGGTTGTTTGATAAATGAGACCTAGTAGAACATCACCTCCTCGGCCCAAGGGCTGACCCCAGTGGTGCTGCTCAAGAGGAAGAAAGAGGCCAGGCGCGGTGGCTCATCCCAGCACTTTAGGGAGCCGAGGAGGGCAAATCACTTGAGCCCAGGCATTCAAGAGCAGCCTGGGCAAGATAGAGATCCTGTCTCTACAATCAGTCAATCAGAAGGCAGAGGAAAGAGGAATGGCAGAAATGCTTCAGGAGCCAGTGTCCAGTGAGCAGAGGCCTCCCCTGGGCTGAGTAGTCCCCGCCTAGGAGGGCCTGTCTCAGCACCTATCTTTAGATGCACGTCTGCCTCTGGCCTTTGAGATGCATGCATTTGTCAAGCAGGGGAATCCATAGTCATTAAACCAAGGTGCCGGGTGGGGCCCAGCTTTCAGTGAAGCATCAGTGGCTTTTCATTCCCATTATAGCAACTGGGAGAAAGGCCCCACGCTCCCAGGGGCCTGATTTTCCAGGCCAGGACCAGATCATTTCTTCCCTCTCAGAATCTGATATTTTTTTGCTATTGGTTCCAAAATTAAATGCTGAAATCTAAAAAGAAAATTATACTTACTCTAGTCAATAGGATATGTTGGAGACCTGAGAGGAAAAAAAAATCAAACTAAAGACCAGTTTCCTTCTTTAGCAGAAAAAAAAAAAAATAAGAAAGTTAACTTAGAATGTTCCCACTGAAGGCCGGGCGCGGTGGCTCAAGCCTGTAATCCCAGCACTTTGGGAGGCCGAGGTGGGTGGATCACGAGGTCAAGAGATCGAGACCATCCTGGTCAACATGGTGAAACCCCGTCTCTACTAAAAATCTAAAAAAAATTAGCTGGGCATGGTGGCGTGTGCCTGTAATCCCAGCTACTTGGGAGGCTGAGGCAGGAGAATTGCCTGAACCCAGGAGGCAGAGGTTGCGGTGAGCCGAGATCGCGCCATTGCACTCCAGCCTCGGTAACAAAGAGCGAAACTCCTTCCCAAAAAAAAAAAAAAAAGAATATTCCCACTGAAAATCCCACTCTGAGACCACTCTGCGGTGTCATGTTGTTCTCTTGCGCCTCATCTCAGTGGATAAAGGTCACTAGAGTTTTAGACACAGGAAAACATCGTTTACAGGAGACTTCTTCATTGTGTAGGGATTCTACCATCAGGCCTGTTCACCAACCAGGAGAATTGTGCTTTTCAATCCAGGGCTCTTGGCCAGAACAGCCTTCTCGCTCATTAACTCAGTCATTTGCTTCCTGTGTTTCAACTGGTGGTTCAGAAACGATGAGAACCTACTCTCTGCCCTCTAATACCTCATGGCCTAACGGGAGAGAAACAAGAAAGCCAGAATTTATAATACAAGATAATAAGGAGTAAGAGCAGAGCCTTTGGAACCAGACAGACTTAGATCCAAATGTCAGCTCTGCATTTACTAGCAAGTGGCCTATCTTGGCAAGATACAACTTTTTTCTCTAAGTCTTAATTTCTCCCTCTGTGAAGTATGACCTCCTGGGGTTATTGTGAAGATTAAATGGTATGTTGTAAATAAGGCCCTTGGCACGATCTTTGAAAAATAGTAACGATTCAGTGAATGTAATCCACTAGTATAGTAGTGATTGAGGTGTTTATAGGGTGCTATGGAAGCCCAGAGAAAGGAGATGAGAAGAACAGGAGGGAGGAAGGGTTACTGTTGAGGAACTATTTCAGGATGGCAGCGTGCCATAGGCTATATTGTGAAGAAATGGTTGAAGTCAGTAAGATGAGTGAAGGGAAGGTGAGAATGTTTCAGGCAGGAGGAATAAAATCTGAATAAGCGCAGAGTCCTGACACAGCATAGGGTGTGTGAGGAACTTGGTATGGTAACAGATGAAGATGGCTTAACATGGAGCAAAAAGATAATTACAGAAACTGAAGCAGAGGATGACCAGGACCAGGTCATAGAGGATATTAAAGGTGGGTAAAACTTATACCAGGAGAGAAGAGAGAAGAGTTACAGTTTTTAAAATAAAATAAATAGCTTTCAAGAGCTAAAATTTGAAACGAATACAAAATGATCAAGTGAATGTTCTGTCCTCTGGCGAGCCTGAATGAAAAAACCTTACCCAATGCAACAAACTTAGAAATTATAAAATAAAACTTAGAGATTAGAAAATAAAAACTGAAATGCAAACTTTTTACTTGGAAATTTAAAAACATACTTCTATATAACTGTTAGTTTAAAAATAAAATCAAAATTATAAGACAAGCTGTTTAGGTATTATTTATCAAAGCCCATCGGATGAAACCAAAGTGGCACTAAGAGGCTTAAATGCATTTATTAGAAAACAAGAAATGCCAGACTGAATGAATTAAGCATTCAGCTAAAGAAACTAGAAAAAGAAAAGAAAGTAAACCTAAAGAAAGTTTTAAAAAGGAATTCAATAAATTAAGAACAAAACACAATTTTTAGAAGCAGACTCAATTAATAAAACCAAAAGCTGTGTTTTTTTAGAAAAGGAAAAAATAGAGAAACCCTTGACAAATCAGATTTTTTTTAAATGAGAGAATGGACAAATAAAGAGCTTAAAGGGCCAGGCATGGTTGGCTTATGCCTATAGTCTCAGCACTTTGGGAGGCTGAGGCTGGAGGATCGGTTGAGACCAGGAGTTCAAGACCACCCTGGGCCACGTGGCAAGACCCCCCACCCCTACAAAAAATTTAGGAATTAGTTGGTTGTGGTGGCTCATGCCTATAGTCCCAGCTACTTGGGAGGCTGAAGCAGGAGGATCACCTGAACCCAGGAGTTCGAGGCTGCAGTGAGCCATGATCATGCCACTGCACTGGGCAACAGAGTAAGACCCTGTCTCAAAAAAAAGAGCATTAAGTTGAGGGGCATAAATAAAAATAATACATTTCAGATTCCAAGACAATATCATTTATTACTTTGTTCTAATATAAATTACTAAAACTTTACCGTATAAGTAGTAGAAAGCCTGAATAGATTAAAAACTATGGAAGAAAAATTAAAGATAGTGGTAGATTTATCACCAAGCTCAGATAGTTCTAGAAACAAATTCTAACAAACCATCAAAGAACAGATCATTGTGACATAGACACAGAAGGCAAACCTCTCAACTCACTGTAAAGGCTAGTTAACATTATTACCAAAACAGGCAAAGAATGACCCCCAAAATAATTCTAAACCAATATCACCTACAAATACAAAAACCCTATATAAAACATTAGCAAGTGAGTACAAGGGTATAAAGAACTCTAGTAATATAATTCACGATACTGGTTAAGATAAAGCCATAACTCTTTAGATACCATGTCTCTCTAGATAGAGAAATGTAAAAGCATTTGATAAAAATTCAACACATTCCTGACTAAAACAAATTAAAATCTTAAAACTCCTGGAAACCCAGGAGTAAAACATGTCCTCCTTAGTCTATAGCAGACATCATAGTTGCTGATAAACGATTCGAAGCATTTCCTTCAAAGTTAGGAATGCAGCAAGAATTGCTACTATTGCTACTATTAGTTAATCCCATATTGGAGGTTTTAGCCAACACTATGTCAAGAAAGGAAATGAGAAAGGTTAACACTGCAAAAGAAGAAATAAACAAAGCCACCATTGCTGATAAAATTGTCTTTCCAAAAAACTAGAAATCCATGATTAAAAGCTATTCTAACTGACAAAAGTTCAGAAAATTGGAATACTTTCGGTATACTAAAATCAATTAGTTTTCTTCACATCAGCGGGTGTATATTAGATGTAACAAAAATGAAGAATCCATTCACAATAGAAGCCAAGAAGTATTTGAGAATAAAACTAACAAGATCTACATAAAAAAGTAAAATATTTAAAAGCAATTTAAGTTCACAATTTGCAAATTGAATTAAGAAAACTATAAGGAAGAACTAGTGAAAATTACAATCTTACTACTCAAAAGAAACCTCTGTTAAAATGTATCATTATTTTAAAACTGTGTTTTGTCATTTCAAAATATGCCATATTAAGCAAATACAGCATAAGCAAATTAAGCAAAAAGAAGATAAACCTTCTTTTAAAAGCATATTTGAGAAAAAAACATATTTGAAGCTATGTTAAGAAACTGGACAGAAGCTATAAAACATGGATTCATCAGGAAGGAGCAGATGTTGAAAAGGAGATTTCTGGCTGGGCATGGTATCTCACGCTTGTAATTCTATCACTTTGGGAGGCCAAGGATCACTTGTGATCAGGAGTTTGAGACCAGCCTGGACAACATGGTGAAACCCCATCTCTACTAAAAATACAAAAATTAGCCAGGCATGGTGGTGAGCTCCTGTCATCCCAGCTACTCAGGAAGGTGAGGCAGGAGAATTGCTTGATCCCAAGAGGCATAGGTTGTGGTGAGCCCAGATTGTGCCACTGCACTCCAGCCTGGATGACAGAGCAAGACCCCATCTTTGAAAAAAAAAAAAAAAAAAAGAAGAAGAAAAAGAAAAGGAAATTTCTGAGTAGAAACTTGTTAGCAGAGGAAACTTTGTTTGGGGAACAGGATTGTTTTGATGTCATGTTCCATCAGCTGATCACACAGATTCCATCCTGGCCAGAAAAAGAAAGACCCTGCAAAGAGCTCTGATCATTTTAGTTCTGATTCCATCCTCAGTTCTTACCCCACTATCTGCTTACCCTTCCTTCCTATTTAAGATCAGAGCGAAGCAAACCAAAAACATGCATGAGTTGCTTGGCAGAGCTGCCTAGGCCTCCGAGGCAGGGCCCCGAGGATTTTTTGACTGAACCCCCTGTTGTGTTTTCCATTTGTGCTTCCCAGACCGCCCAGGTTTGCTGAATGTGAAACCCATTGAAGACATACAAGACAACCTGCTACAAGCCCTGGAGCTCCAGCTGAAGCTGAACCACCCTGAGTCCTCTCAGCTATTTGCCAAGCTGCTCCAGAAAATGACAGACCTCAGACAGATTGTCACGGAACACGTGCAGCTACTGCAGGTGATCAAGAAGACAGAGACAGACATGAGTCTGCACCCCCTCCTGCAGGAGATCTACAAGGACTTGTACTAGCAGAGTCCTGAGCCACTGCCAACATTTTCCTTCTAGTTGCACTATTCTGAGGGAAAATCTGACACCTAAGAAATTTACTGTGAAAAAGCATTTTAAAAAGAAAACGTTTTAGAATATGATCTATTTTATGCATATTGTTTATAAAGACACATTTACAATTTTTAATATTAAAAATTATCATATGAAATTGCTGAGAGTATCTGAAGACTGAGTCTTGTGTGTTTCCCATCCTAGCCTACAGGCTTTCTTTTTCCCACCTTTCATTTCCTCTCTCCTCTCTCTCCCTCCCCTTCCCTCCTTTCCTTCTTCATTTATTTTTCTTCTTTTTTTCGTAGACATTTTAAAATATATGAGTGGAACTGCTGATAAAGTTTTATTCTCAGTAAATTAATTTTTTACCCAATTTACAGATTTTCAGAACTCTGCATCTGCTTTAACAATCAGAACCAAGAAGGGAAGGGGAACTTCAGAATCAGAAAGTGCTCTCAGAGCTTGTGTTTTGTAGCTTGGGTGTGCTAATACGCAGCGTGTCCCTGGGCTTACCCAGAATTCAGTCTTCTTCCACAATCCTAGCAGAGATTTTCACTCACCACCGGGATTCTATTCATATACTACCTTACTAATCAATGCTACTGCACATCCACAGAGCCAATGGCCAGCAACTGAGCACTGCTAGAAACTCTGGGGAACACAGAACTGTTTTAAGATTTGGTATCCGGGCCAGGCACAGTGTTCCAAGCCTTTAATCCCCACACTTTAGGAGGCCAAGGTGGATGGATTGATTGAGCTGGTCTCCTGTTCGAGATACTATCTCTACAACAATTTAAATGTTAGCCATTTGTGATGGCACACACCTGAAATTTCAACTACTCAGAGGCTGAGGCAGGAGGATTTGCCTGAGCCTGGGAGTTCGAGGCTGCAGCGAGCTGTGATGGTGCCACTGCACTCCAGCCTGGGCCACAGAGTGAGACCCTGTCTCTAAAAAAGATTAAAAAAAAAAGATTCAACACCTGCCAAAAAGAATTTGCCAATTATAAAATGAGGAGAAACGATTAATCTTTCTTCATACAGATTCTAATTCAAGATGAAATCACATGCCAGGTGAATGTTTTGGAGCCTAAGTGCTGTAAGAGTTTGTAGGAAGTAAGAAGAATGAAGATTCGAATCCTAGAGAATGAATCTGTGGATTCACTGAAGAGGGCCTCAGGGAAGTGTTGGATTGGAATAGATAGGAGGAGAAAGGACAAGAGCTACTTTCTAGTTTCTTCTTCCGCAGTGCAGTTTTGCCATGGTTATTCCTGTCCTCCTCCTTGGGACCAATCTGTCCAGAGATCTCTTACTTTTCTGAACTCAGAGGCTAACTATCCATATTTTAATGGAATGCTTGCTTCCCAAACAAATAGATTTGAAGTTCCCTGAAGGCGGGACAATCTTCATTCTTGGCACAATGAGTAGATCATTGATTCAATCCACCAAATTCACTTGTATTAGCTACTGATGAACTCATCATACTATGTCTTTGAAGAATTGTCTTTCGGGGGTGTCCAACAGAGAGAATACAGTCATGGGTTCTTAGTTTCTGTTTCTGACTGGGCCAATAAAGCCCCTTCCTCATCCCTCTCTTCTGCTTATCACTAGGGACAGAAATTCAAAACGATGGCTTCAGGCTGCTAAAAGCCTAAACCAAACCAAACCAAATCACAACAACAAAATGCAGGCTAGACAAGCTTGCGAGTGTAACCTGACTATCTGGAGGCCTCTGTTGTACGGGACGGTTATTTCCACTGCTGTGAATTATTTCCTGCCACTTCTCCCTTAATTTATCTTGTTTTATGGTATTTACACTCAGGAGGGCATAACTGCAGACTTGAGGCTTTCAAGCCAAATTATCAAGAAAGGCCGGGCGCGGTGGCTCACGCCTGTAATCCCAGCACTTTGGGAGGCCGAGGCGGGTGGATCACGAGGTCAAGAGATTGAGACCATACTGGTCAACAAGGTGAAACCCCGTCTCTACTAAAAATACAAAAAATTAGCTGGGCACGGTGGCGCGTGCCTGTAATCCCAGCTACTCAGGAGGCTGAGGCAGGAGAATTGCCTAAACCGAGGAGGTGGAGGTTGCGGTGAGCCGAGATCACACCATTGCACTCCAGCCTGGGTAACAAGAGCGAAACTCCGTCTCAAAAAAAAAAATTATCAAGAAAGACCTGTTCATCTTTTGCTTCAAAATAACCATATCTCCAAAGAATCAGGTTATAGAAGTGAGTACTGACCCCAGCCCTAAAAATGCAGGGTTCCTAACCCTTCAGGAGAGACCCCCTTCTGAGCTGAAACCTTTAGAATGACAAAGACTGAAGCCATTGTCTAAGTAACATCAAAACATTTGCAAGGAAAGTGACAAATTTAGTCAGTCATTTGGCTCTTTTTTTTTTCCCTTGATACCAAACATCAGGATATTTTGAAACACTCAGATGACTGGCTAGAGTATTCTGTGTAGAGAGTTGATGGTCAGGGATCTCTTGAAAGAGAATGTACAGGCAGTAGACAAGATACAGTCCACCTCCAAGGCGCTCCCCTGTTTACAAGCTTTCTTGAACAAAAAGTCTTTCAGCCCCACTGCCTGGTCTCAGTTCCCACCAGTGCTCCCCAGCCCATCCAAGCCTTTCCACATTATCGGAGCTGTTGCTGCCAATGGAGGGAGGAAGAGAGGCGCTCTCAGCTCTCTGGCACTGATGGTTAGCATTAAATGGCTTTTAAATCCTGGCAGCTTTCAAATTCCTGTCTCTCTGACTTTTTCCCTGTGGCTTGGATGATCATTTGCTAAATATTTTACGACACTTTATATTCAGCCTCCAAAACTCCTGCTCCTTTCTGCCTCTCTCTCTCCCCCAGGATGAATCATAAGTTAACGAATGTGTCATCAGTTATTCATAGTACTTTCTCTGGATACAAACACACGTAGGGATTTGTGTTAATAAAAATAGGAAGAAAAGTAACTTTGGTTAAGAGTCAAGAAAGGGTTTCCAGGCTCCCACGAGAGCCCTCCCCCAGTACCTCCCTGGAACGGGTTCCCTTTTCCTTCTTCCCGCTGTGTGCGTAGCCCAGGAACAAAGAAGGGACACACAGAAGAAGCAAAGCTGCACACCCTGTTTCTCCAGCCATCGTAAGAAACTGGGCTGGCCTGAGTTTATGGCTTGTTTTTTACAATGTGGGTGCAGAGAAAGGAGCCTGGGAGGCTCAGGGTCAGAACAGGTAGCAGCACTAGCTGATGCCACATAGCAAATTTCCAACTAGAGGCCTGGGGAGGAAACCAGAGGGCAGCTCCGCCACTTCCACTAAGGGGCAAAGAGGCAAGGGGACAGAGGCGTCTGCAGTGGGCTTCCTTGGTGGCATCTGGACTCCAATGACTTTTTCTTGTCTCCCTCGAGGCTAGAAAGCAGGTATTTTCATGTCCTTGCTTGACACCGCCTGCTGACCGTGTGGTGCTGATGGAAGGAGCTGGATGAGGGAGGGGCTGGATGTTGGCCTCTGGATACTCATTCCCTTGGAAATACCTAGTGGGGGTGGTGAGGGTGGGGGAGTGGGGCTCCTTATTCTACATCCCGAGAGAAAGAACCAAAGCTTATTTCTACCGTGCTCACCCCATTGCTTTCTGGTTACCCTTTTTTTTTTTTAACTGTTCGATGCAGCGGTTTGGGTTATGAGACAGGATGACCAAGATGCCTGGTGGTCACTAGGTGGCCCCCTCCCTACCTTCTGCTGTCCCTCCCATGTCCTTGTTGTTGGCCCCAGCCCCTGGCTGTCTCTGCATCATGAACACTGTTGTTGCTTGCACTTCCCCACCCTCACCATGTGATTGCACCTGGTAGACCCTCCATTTAACGCCAACTGAAAAGAAATAGCAGGGTCTTAAGGGTTCAAAAGATCATGCAATGTCCGATAGCTCCACCGCATTCATTAAACACATAGCCCATACTCCAGTCACAGCAGGCTATGATGGTGACCGCGACTAGGCCCTGCGCTCAAGGTGGATAAGTAATCACAGCTCAGTGGACACAACAACTGCCTAGAGAGGTGAAAGGATTTGCAGAGCGTGCGCATAAGCCCAAGAGTGTGGAATTCTCCATGTGTTCAGAAAATGGCCAGAAGAGGGGCATGGCTGCCGCAGCTCCCAGGCTAAAGTGTGGATGTGGCCAGTCAGTAGCAGATTGTGGGAGCCTTGTCCTCCCTGACGAGGAGGTCTCTCGGTCTGTGTTCGTAGCAACTGGGGTCCGGGGGGCATGCTGCCAGGCAGAAGAGAGGCATGGTCAAATTTGCAATTTGGAGAGTCAGCACCCCAAAAGTCAACACTCCCCAAAGTAGAAATTTCCTCTACAATGGTCTTGATGGTTGCCCAACCCACAGACAACTGCAGGAAGCCACACGAAGCTCTCTCCCCTCTAAGCCCCTAGGTGATTTCCAGCAGCAGGTCTGTCTCCGCCCCTGGGCTCACACTTACCACCCGCTTGTTCCTGCGCCCTGGGGGCTCCAGCTCACCTCCTTCCCTTCCATCTGGTCTCAATCTCTTGCCTCAGTCACAGACAGCTTAAGGACCATAACCTCTTGGTATCCATTCCCTACTGTTGCTCATACTGACCCAAACTACAAAGGTCCTCTGCTTTGTTTCACCTTTTCATTTAATTCGTTAACATCTCACGGTCATTTTTATTTGCATGTATCAAAGGCTGCCTGTCCCATATCTCATGTCCAGAAATGCCCTGCATTGGTCATAGGCATCAGGAAAATTAGAGGCTGGCCACAGTGGCTCACACCTGTAATCCCAGCACTTTGGGAGGCCAAGGCAGGCATCACCTGAGGTCAGGAGTTCAGGACCAGCCTGGCCAACATGGTGAAAACCCGTCTCTACTAAAAATACAAAAATTAGCCAGGCATGGTGGCAGGTGTCTGTAATCCCAGCTACTCAGGAGGCTGAGGCAGGAGAATCGCTTGAATCTGGGAGGCAGAGGTTGCAGTGAGCCAAGATCTCACCACTGCACTCCAGCCTGGGTGACAGTGTGTCTCCAAAAATAAAAATAAAAATACATATTAAAAACAAAAGAGAGATTATTATATAAGACACTTAAAACTGTGTGTAGCACACAGTATGTGTTCAATAAATAGCACCTATGATTGGAGACAGCATCCTGGGGTGGACTTTACTCTAATTTGGGTTAAAAGTCTAACACAACTTATGGTTCTAGAGCCATATGGCTTTGGCCAATCTCTCAATCTTTCTAGGCCTTAATTGCCCTCATATGGAAAGTGGGATAATACCTCAGAGGGCTATTATGAGGATTAAATGTAATAATGGTTGTAAAACACTTCACAGGGTTCCCGGCACATCCTAGCCAGTCCTAAGTGCTGGCTGCGGGTAACGTTATTGCTGCTGTTGTTAAAGTGCCCCTCATTTAAGGAGGCATTCTGCGCCACGGGACAGGCTCTTCCTGTGCAAGTGATCTGGACCTCGCTAAAGGGCCTGTAACCTCAAAGCCGGGATTGAATTTGGTATTTGGCAATACAGTAAAAATATATTCTCTCAAAAGATTTTACCGCCAATCCATAAGTATTAGGAGGAAAAAAGTATTTGAAAGACAACTGCTGTGTTCTGATTTAGAACACATGCTCAGGATGAGGCTACAAAAACATTTTCTACTCAAGTAATGGGGCTTTTCTCTTGTGACTTCACTCCTAATTTTAGACAAATATTACATAGTTGGAATTTCCAGAGGGGTTATAAAGCATAAGAATATTGCTAATTTGAGCCTGTAGGGAGTGGGTTGGGATATTTTCATCCCCTCCGGAGTTGTGTAAATATGTTCCAGGCCAAAAGTTCCCAGGAGAGTGTCATTCCTGGGGTCTATTTAGTGCCATGGGCTTGACTCAAGGAGGATGGAAGTGGCTTCCCGCAAGAGTTGGAAAATTGTGATCTCCTGGCCATTTTTCCACAATACCAGAAGCCGGAAAGTGTACGTTAGAACCCTTATCATCTGTCTGAGACTTAGCTCTGTCATGTTCTATGTATGTGGCCTTGGATAGCTTACTTTCCTCTCTGTGGACCTCATACCTGGCCCGAATAACTATCTCAGCACATTACATCTAATTCCATAATGATGAATAAAGGAATGGGTCCCCCACTGGCTGCTCTGAAAAGCCATCTTTGCATTGTTCCTCGTCCGACTCCTTGCTCGCCGCAGCCGCCTCCGCCGCGCGTCTCCTTCGCCGTCGCAGACTCCGGCAGCTTTATCGCCAGAGTCCTTGAAATCTCGCTTTCTTTTTAATCCCCCGCATCGGATCACCGGCGTGCCCCACCATGTCAGACACAGCGGTAGACACCAGCTCCGAAATCACCACCAAGGACTTGAAGGAGAAGAAGGAAGTTGTGGAAGAGGCGGAAAATGGAAGAGACGCCCCTGCTAATGGGAATGCGAATGAGGAAAATGGGGAGCAGGAGGCTGACAACGAGGTAGATGAACAAGAGGAAGAAGGTGGGGAGGAAGAGGAGGAGGAAGAAGAAGGTGATGGTGAGGAGGAGGATGGAGATGAAGATGAGGAAGCTGAGTCTGCTACGGGCAAGCGGGCAGCTGAAGATGATGAGGATGATGATGTCGATACCAAGAAGCAGAAGACCGACGAGGATGATTAGACAGCAAAAAAGGAAAACTTAAACTAAAAAACAAAAAAAAAGGCCGCCGTGACCTATTCACCCTCCACTTCCCGTCTCAGAATCTAAACGTGGTCACCTTCGAGTAGAGAGGCCGGCCCGCCCGCCCAATGCGGGCAGTGCCACCTGCAGACGAACGACGCGCTCTCCACTACCCAACCCAAACCATGAGAATTTGCAACAGGGGAGGAAAAAAGAACCAAAACTTCCAAGGCCCTGCTTTTTTTCTTAAAAGTACTTTAAAAAGGAAATTTGTTTGTATTTTTTATTTACATTTTATATTTTTGTACATATTGTTAGGGTCAGCCATTTTTAATGATCTCGGATGACCAAACCAGCCTTCGGAGCGTTCTCTGTCCTACTTCCGACTTTACTTGTGGTGTGACCATGTTCATTATAATCTCAAAGGAGAAAAAAAAACCTTGTAAAAAAAGCGAAAACGACAACAGAAAAACAATCGTATTCCGAGCATTCCAGTACCTTTGTTGTGTATGTACTTAGCTGTACTATAAGTAGTTGGTTTGTATGAGATGGTTAAAAGGCCAAAGATTAAAAGGTTTCCTTTTTTTCCTTTTTTGTCTATGAAGTTGCTGTTTATTTTTTTTGGCCTGTTTGATGTATGTGTGAAACAATGTTGTCCAACAATAAACAGGAATTTTATTTTGCTGAGTTGTTCTAAAAAAAAAAAAAAAAAAAAAAAAAAAAAAAGGAATGGGTCTCAGTTTCCCTAGCTGTAAAATGGGGATAGCAGCACCTAACCTGCATGTTTTATAGAGTAAATGAAAAGTAGCACGGCAAGCCTGATCACCACCCTTCATAGATAAGAAAGTTAGGCCCACATTGGTGAAGGAGCTAGCCCAAAAAAATTGAGAGGTAGGGCTGAGGTTGGACCTCAGGCTTCCCAAGGCCAATCCATGCTGGGGCTTTTTCTTGGTATGCTGTCCTGTTTCCCGAAAAGCCCAAGACAGTGTTGTCTGGTTGGCAGAGCAAAAGCTTTAGGGCAGGGAAGACTTCAGTTTGACTTTGGTTCTGCCACATGCTATCTATGCAACCTCAGACAGGTTGCTTCCTGTCTCTGGGCTCAGCTTCTTCGTCTAATTGGTGAAGTCCCCAATTCCTATGTGATAGAGTTGTTGTGAGAATAAGAGGTCACAGATGGATGAAGTGCTTAGAGTCCCATAAATAATTAAAATCTTCAAAAGACAAGCACCTCTGACCTCACAGGATTTGCCAGGAGCTCATCCTGGCCAGGGGACATTGGTAACCAGCGTCCTCCACCAGAGAAAATGTCATGAGCCTCTGCCCATGAGGACCTGTCTGGTGTTGTCCTGGGTTCTGAAAGGGGTTTGCAGTGGGCCTTGGGAAGTCATTTTCTCTGAGCCTTGGTTTCCCCATCTGCACACTCAGCTGATCTGCCCTTCCAGCTCTGATATCCCAAGGCCTTGGGGGCCTCTCGGGGAGACTGGCAGGAAGAAATAGCCCTCTCTGGCTGACCATCAGAGGCCTGTGTTCTCTGTTGCCAGAGTTTGCATTCACCCCTCCTAGCGACCTAGGCCTGGACCAGGCAACAGCCAGCACTTACTAAAGGCCTGGGGCTGGTCCAGCCACCTCCGAGGGGAGGGGAGGGACACCGGATGGATGGCTGTTTCCCACCCAAAGCCAAGCTGCTGAGAGAGGGGCGTTGTGCTGAGTCAGCAGGTTGGCAGCTCCTGGCCTGGGGTCCCTGGCCGTCTGAGCCTGCCAGATGGGCTGGAGCCAGGAAGGCCTCTGAGGAGCCAGCATGTTATCGATGATGCTGCCGCTGCTGCCACAGCAGTGGGAACCGTGCCCTGGAAAAGCCTCTCCCCGGCCAGGCCTCCCAGGGCTGCAGGGTGGGGGACAGTTGCTGGGGAAGGAGGAGTTTTAGGAGTTGCCTCCTACTGTCAAGATTCTAGCCAGGGCTGCCTCTCTTGTCCCCTGCCTCTCCACTTTGTCACCTCTCGATAGCAAGTATTCTTCTTCGGCACCAAGTACAAGCTTTACTTATAAATGGCTCTCTGTCTGCTGAATCCTTCCACAAGCCCAGTGAGGTGGTGTATGGGTCAGGATCCCAGCAGGGGGACATGGCACACTCAAAAGGGATCATTGAAGAGTGTGTCAGGCAAGGACTAGATTCAAGGTTGTGGGAGGGTTAAAATTAAGGGAAACCAGGAGAGGATTGTGAAACACGCCAAGGCCAGTCTCCGCAGAAAGCCTCTACCCCCACTGTACCCAGCTCTAAAGGACAAGGGGAAGCAAAGGTGGCAGGACCTCCAGAGGAGTGCAGCCAGAGAAGAGGCTCCCCGCAGGAGTCGCACCCCTAACACCAAGGAGTGCAACCACTGCTCGCTCGCTCCAGCATGGCCAGGACTCCTTTTCTCCTCTCAGCCTCCTGCCAAAGTCTCCCATTGGCCAAGTCCAGCTGGAAGCCAGACAGCAAAAGAGCCAATAGATCCCATGCCTACGATTCAGCCTCCTGGAGCACATAGCCTGGTAGAGGAGAGTAGAGGGGGGACCTGCAGAGGCAGGGAGAATATTCCACAGAGTGTAGTCAAGCCTGTGAGACTCAAGGGGAAAGAGAGAACCTGAAGTCTCAGGTCACAGAGCCATAACTCCATGCTCAGATTCCAGCTTAGGTCCTCCTAGCCCCAGAGCCATGGTCTTTCCATTAAATGAGACCTGCTGCAAGAGAGGACCTAGGAACCAGGGCAGATCTCCTTACGCCCCTAGCCAGGGTGGAGGCTCATAGCTAGGAACCCGGTTTGGCCCTGTTGCTTGCTGCTTGTTTCCACCATGTTCCCTGGAGATGTGAGGAGTGTAGTCTAATGCAGCTCACGCATGTTTTCTCCTACACGTTAGCATCAGCTTTGTCATTTACTCCCACATATATCTATAAATACCTTACATATAGATGTTATATATATTTGTAATTTTTAAATTAATGTATAAGTTCATTTAGAAGTTAAGTTACTTCATTTATTCTACCTACCCCAAAACTTTGAGAAGAAAAAGAGTCACCAGGTTGGAGCACTACATCTTTCCTGTGGCTTCAAGTGCCCCTAAGAGAGGGCTGTGCACTTCACTTTGAGAGGCACAGGCCCTCTTGTCCTGCAGGGAGAAAAGCTCCTTGCCAACCATTGCCCGGGTAATAGTAACACTTTCTGTCCCATGACCCTGCTTGCATGGTGAAGACAAAGAAAATCTGGCCAAAATGGAGCCCAGGAGAGAGCCTGAAAAGGGACAAAAGGTCACTCATGTTCATCTGAGAGGAGGGAGGAAGAGATTTGAGCTCCATGTCAGCAAATGCTGACATTCTCTGTCCCCAGATGTCCCCATGCTCTAGGGACACATAGATAAGCCTAGCATGACTTGGGTCACCAAAGAACTCACTCTCATGGAGGAGATAAGCACAAACGCTGGCAACAACAAGATGCCAGACAAGTGCCAGGAGTGGAATGGCTCAGAGGCAGGCAGCCGGGTTCAAATGCCCCACGCGGCCCTTTCATAACTGTATCACCGTGGGCGAGCCAAGTAAGCATCTACGTTTCCTCTTTTCTAATTGGGCAAGCTCATACCTACCTGTCGAAGTTACCATAAGGAATGAGATAGACGAAGTATGAGAGCACTTAGCACGTAAGCCAATGCCACGAATGCCGGGACAGACGCTGTGCACGTCCTGACGGAAGAAGGCAGCCATGTTTCTCCAGCCCTTTCCAGTGAAAGAATTTATTTTTAATTTGCCAGATAACCTGAGCTCTGTGGTTTCTGTTACTGTAGAAGTGGGGAAGAGGTTTCACTCTGCCCCGGGGAGGCAAGGGAAGGCTTCACGGTGGAGGTGACATCTGAGATGGCTGGAAGGATTTACAAGGGTGGTCCAGCAGGCAAGGAAAATGCCCGGCCAAGGGCTCCTGTGCAAAAGCACGTGGCATGTTGGGAAGTATAAGTATTGGGGTGTGGCTGGGATATGAGGGTGCTGGGGGAGGAGAAACGGCTGGAACAGTAGAATAGAAACAAGGCTTTTTAAATATAGATCAGGACTTAGACTGATGGACTGAGTGTTTCTACTTTATCCAGGGAGCATGCAGAGCCTTAGAGGGTTTAAGCAGGGAAGCTGCAAATGAGATATTCCCTCTAGTGATCCCTTCATCAGTCCAGGAGATGGGACTTGACCGGAGGGTGGGAAACTACTAGGAGGCTGTGGCCGTCATACAGATAAGAGGTGGGGGTGGCATGGTGAGGGGTGGCATTGGCAGTGGGGTGGGAAGTAGTAGACAGATTTGGGAAACTGTCCAGGTTCTACTTACATGGAGGGAGGGAGGGGAAGCTCTCAAGGTGATACTCAGGTGACGTGGATTGTGGGACAGGTACATACTCTTTATTGGACTAGGGGGCTTGTGAGAGAGAACATTAATAAGTTCTGCCTCAGAAACCCTGAAGGTGAGGCACCTGTGTGGCACCCAGACAGGGGTGCCTAGTTGGCTGTTTGATCTATGGATGTCTGGAGCTTAGAGGTGCAGGTGGGGTGGGGGAGAAATGTGGGAGCTATGGAAGAAGGTGGCGAGGGTCACATAACAGCCTCAGAAAAGGAGGCCAACATGTGTTCCTGCCAGAGCTCCCTGTAGGACCGCAGGTCAGTCATTTCGCCCCCACAAGCCCCATTTTCCCACTGGGGTCAGGAGGTCTAAATGTCTCTGTTGTCTTTGTATCCACTGGCTCCTTAAAGATGTACAAAGTGCCTTCTGCGTGCCGGGGGCTGCTGGAGAAATGGGATTCCCATTCAGCTGCCCTTCTCAGGAGCCTTTCAGGGGTGAGGACGTCCATTGTCTCATTTCTCCAGCACAGTGACCATCTGAGAGAAAGAGTATTGTTCCATTTCAAAGGCAGGTAAACTGAGGCCAGTAAGTGACAGAACTGGGATTTAGACTCAGGCCTTCTGAATTCAAGTACAGTGACTCTCCTTCAAATTGGCAGAACCAAAGACCTCTGGGAATTGAGGGTCAGGGGCCTCCATAAAAGGGTTAGGGCCCTCCCCTGTGGCTGCTTCCACCACCCCAGAGTGGGTGTTTTTTCCACTCTGTCTGCACACACACATGCGCACACCGTCCAAGAGGCATGCCTTGCTGATGCCGTCACAGGACTTTATTCTCTCCGGTAACTCAAAGGAAAGCTCCTCTGAGTGCCTATCTTGCCTCTGGGAGAGAGAGTTTTATTATCAGGCCAGCAGTGGCCCAGACAGACAGCAGGCCCCAGAGGGCAGAGTCCTTTCACACTTCAGATTCCTCCTCCTGCAGGCTGCTACCACCGCCCCAACCTGTGCCCCTGGACCTCAGCCAGTGCCAAAACCTGGACGTGGTGTGGTGTCACTGAAAGTCAGTGCCTGCTCAGAAGCCCCGCGCATTCCTCTTTTCCACCCCCATGTTTTCAAGCCCAAGACCTCAGTTTTCCCATCAGTTAGATGGAGGTGATTGTCACTTCTACAGACCTAACAGGGCCATGGGAGGATTAGATGAGATAATGGGAGGAGAAAGTGCTTCACAAATACCACCGACTAGAACTCCTGGGGCCACTGTGTTATTAGTACTGTTACCAGACCTGGTGTCTCTGTACCAGCGGCTCCTGAGTCAGGCCTCAGGGCATGTACAATTCCAGCTCCAAGGGAAT